CCTGGGAAAGCGCAAACGAAAACTGCTAGAAATGACGCTGAACTTGCGGATGCGCTGTATGATTATTTTTTAGGTGATGAAGAACTTTGAGTAGTGGTAGATGCACAGCAGAATGCGCGCGCGCCGTCAATAGCGAGTGCGTCGATTAATTCAAATACTCCACTTTTAAGTGCACCAAATACAAGACATGGAAATGTTCATAGTAATGCGCAAGCACAAAGTCTGGAAACTGGAGTCAGACACCCAATGAATGCCAAACGGCAGACGGATGAAATGGACCAAAGTAATAAAAGTTCAAGGTGTAATATCAAACCTGCAACGTTTGATGGTAGTCATTCATGGCTGGACTATAAGTCCCATTTCGACGCATGCGCTACCATTAACAACTGGTCAGAGAAAGAAAAAGGACTTTACTTAGCTGTTTCGCTAAGAGGAACCGCACAGGGCGTACTTGGAAATGTTTCAAAAGAAACAGGGCAACAGTATGATTTGTTAGTTAAGGCCCTTGAAGAACGCTTTGCGCCGCCAAATCAGACTGAACTATACCGTGCGCAGTTAAAGGAAAGAAAACAAAGAGCGTCTGAGACATTGTCTGAACTGGGACAAGCTATCCGTAGATTGACTTGTCTAGCTTATCCTACAGCGCCATCGGAAGTTAGAGAAACACTGGGGAAGGATGCATTTATTGATGCATTAGTTAACTCCGATATGCGCTTACGCATCAAACAGAGTAGACCTGGAAGTCTAAATGATGCTATTCGGCTTGCTGTAGAGTTAGATGCTTACTATAAAACAGAAAGGCGAGGAAATTTGCGGATGATTGAGAGCATAGAACGCGACCAAGTAAAACCCACACAGCCATTAGAACTAATAAATCTGATGACTAAGATGCAAACTCAGTTGGATAGATTGGAAAAACAGGTCCAAGATCAAAACTGGAGGCAAAGAAGAAAAACATCACAGTTGACAGGCAGGAAAACTAGTGATGAAGTGATTTGCTATTATTGTAAGGAAAAAGGGCACATTCGTCGGAAGTGTCCTAAAATTAGGAATAAAGACACAAATAAGAACAGTGATATCCCGGCAAAGAAATTAACTAGTGGGAGTGCGCGGCGAATTCGTAGTAAGCGCCGGAGAAATCAACGTAGAATGCATGGACACGTAGGTGGAAGCACTAAGAGTAATGAGGCTGGTATTTTTATTGAGGCAGAGGTTAATGGTACACATACAAATCTGTTAATCGATACAGGGGCTTCATTAAAATTAGTTTCAAAAAGGGTGCATGATATGATAACGCAAGAAAAGCGACCTGAATTAGAGAAGAGTGCGCAGAAAGTTTTAAACGCAAGTGGAAATGCACTTTCACATTATGGAAAAGCAGATTATCAGATCAGAGTAGGACAATTTGAAACAATTATTCCAGCTATGGTAAGAGACATCACGGTGGATGGTATCCTTGGCCTAGACTTTTTGAGGAAAGGTAGTGGTATTATAAATCTCAGTTCTAACACTTTGAGACTACACAATAAAGAATATCGCATTACTTGTGAAGGAACCATAGGCTGTTATCGTGTCATTGCAGCTAATGATATTTGTATCCCCCCTAGGAGTGAAGTAGCTATTGAAGCTGAGATTTCAGGGCAGAATGCATTTGGAGGCTCAGATTACATAGTCGACCCAGATGCAAGATTTCTAGAGAAGGGTCGTGCGTTGGTTGGCAGAACATTCGTAAAAGGTGGCGAAACCGTGCCTGTGCGACTTATGAATATTACAGATGTAGCCCAACAGATATATAAGAGAACTATGATTGCCAAAATGACAGCTGCTACAGGAGACAGCAAGAGAACAGAATGTAGGACTCCGATCTGACGTGCAAGAGTTACGGGATAGATGTAAGAAAAAATCTTTCACATGCACAAGCCTTGCAAACTGAAAAATTCTTACATAGATATCAGCATTTGTTTGCTGCTTCGAATTTTGATCTGGGTCGGACTACAGTTGTTAAACACAGAATCAAAACTAGCTCTACAGAAAAACCCATTAAACAAGGAGCACGGAGAATCCCATTACATTTGTTAAAAGAAGTTGATAAACAGGTGAACGAAATGATTGAAAAAGACGTAATAGAACCCTCAAATAACCCTTGGGCCTCGCCCGTGGTTCTAGTGCGTAAGAAAGATGGGTCAATGCGCTTCTGCATTGATTATAGGCAACTAAATGCAGTAACAGTTAAGGACGCGTATCCCCTTCCAAATATAGAAGAAGCATTTGATCACCTGTCCGGACATGCTTTATTCTCCACTCTAGACCTCAATAGCGGATACTGGCAAGTGGCCATGGAGGATGAGGACAAGAGTAAAACAGCTTTTGTAACGCGCAAAGGTCTCTTTCAATTTAAGGTGATGCCTTTTGGTCTTACCTGTGCGCCTGCCACCTTTGAACGTTTGATGGAGACGGTTCTTGCAGGTCTCCAGTGGGATATATGCCTGGTATATCTCGATGATATAATAGTAATTGGAAAATCATTTGAAGATATGCTTAGCAATCTGGAAAAGGTTTTTGATAGACTGCAAGGAGCAGGTCTAAAGTTGAAGGCAAGGAAGTGTAATTTGTTCGCCACAAAAGTTTCATACTTGGGTCATACTATTTCGAAAGAAGGCATTGCGACAGACCCAGAAAAGATTAAAGCTGTTTCTGAATGGCCTGTACCTTCAAGTGTATCTGATGTTCGTTCCTTCCTCGGGTTGTGCAGTTATTATAGACGTTTTATTAAAGATTTTGCTTTGGAAGCAAAACCTTTGCACCGTCTTACAGAGAAAGGGCGAAAATTTCAATGGACAAAAGAGGCACAGGATGCATTTGAAACTCTTCGAAACAGATTGATCTCTGCGCCGATATTGGCACTACCAGACGTATCTTTACCTTTTATACTTGACAGAGACGCGAGCAATCACTCTATAGGTGCTGTGCTTTCACAAGAAATATGTGGAAAAGAGCGAGTGATAGCTTATGCCAGTCGCACCTTATCCAAAGCAGAGAAACGATACTGTGTGACGAGGAAAGAGTTATTGGCTGTTGTACACTTTATAAAACACTTCCGCCATTATCTGTATGGAAGACAATTCCTTCTTAGAACAGACCACGGATCTCTTAGGTGGCTGCTCAACTTCAAGAACCCAGAGGGCCAATTGGCAAGATGGCTTGAGGTTGTTAGCACCTATGACATTAAGATAGAGCACCGCCCAGGTCGAAAGCATGGAAATGCGGATGCTCTAAGTAGAATTCCGTGCATACAATGTGGATTTGACCCTAACTGGGAAGAAGAAAAACCTAACCTGTCAGTGCGATCTGTGCAGTCATCCACAAAAGTAAATAACGAGGAGTGTGATAGAGAAAATAGAAGTCTATTAGAAGCACAGTAAAATAACAAATATATTCAGCTAGTGCGTCAGTGGGTTGTAAAGGCAAACGACCATTATTTGCTGATGTCTCACAGTATGGTTACGTGGTTAAGTCACTATGGAATCAATTCAAGAGATTGAGCATTCGAGATGGCTTTCTAGTGCGACAATGGATTTTACTCTCCTCAAATCAAGAAACATTTCAAGTTATCATACCAAATTCAGAGAGGAGAAATGTATTAAAGATGTGCCACGATAATAAAACATTAGGACATCTTGGTGTAACAAAGACGTTAGCCAGAATTAGACAGAGATATTACTGGCCAGGATTACAGAGGGATATCCACCAGTACATAGCAGGATGTGATACCTGTACAAGAAGAAAGAATCCTATCCCTAAAAGACGGGCTCCAATGCAGATCATGGCATCTGGTGTGCCTATGGAGAGAATAGCTTCAGACATTTTGTGTGAATTACCGGAAACTGAAAGAGGGAATCGTCATATTCTCGTCGTGTCGGATTATTTCACAAAATGGAGGGAAGCGTTTGCTCTTCCGAATATGGAAGCAGAAACTATTGCCCGAACGATTATGGAACAAGTAATAGTAAGATTTGGCGTTCCTTCCGTTCTCCATTCAGATCAAGGTCGCCAATATGAAAGCAAAGTATTTCTGGAGATGTGTCGGTTGCTTGGAATCACTAAAACAAGGACTACTCCCTACCATCCCAAATCGGATGGTATGGTTGAACGCTTCAACCGTACACTAATATCAATGCTGAGTGCTTATGTCCAGGAGAATCAGAAAGATTGGGATTTACACCTTCCCTACATCTTAATGGCTTATCGCTCAACAGTACATGAGAGTACGGGGTTTTCTCCCAACATGTTAATGCTTGGAAGAGAAGCAACAACGCCTCTAGATTTAATGTATGAAATGCCGTCAGAGATGAAAGACATTCCAGCGCATCAGTGGGTATATATGGATATTGCGCGAACGCCTAGAGAAAGCGCATGCAATTGTTAGAGAAAACGTGCCTGGAGAGATGTTGCGACAAAAGAAGTATCATGATGCCAAATTATCATGGTCGTCGTTCAAGCCAGGGGATATGGCATATGTATACTTTCCAGTCAGGAAGAGTGGCTGCTCCCCAAAACTGACATCGTTTTGGAGGGGACCATTCAAAGTCGAGAAGAAACTGTCTGATGTGTTGTATGAAGTTGCTTGTGATTCTAGAGGGAAAAGCGCTGTCATACATTGTGATCGGATGAGAAAAAGTTATGCACAAATACTACAAGGAGAAACCGAGGAAGACATATGCGATAGGAATGATATTCCAGTTGGAGATCAAATGTCTCCCATCGATGTTCCTGTAGCTGAATTTGAGGAACCTTGCGCTTTAAGTGAAGAAGTTGGCGCAAGCGAAAGCAGTAGACCACGTCGCACTAAAAACTTACCAAAATGGCTTCAGGACTACGAAGTCGATTACAGCGCTTAGAGCTTTAAGATTAGCGTGTGCTTTTGTATAAATATGTAAATAACCTGTCATAATAATATAGAAATAATGGTAATTGAAGTTTTTGTTTTATTTTAATAGATCATGGTTAATACAAAGATTACTCCCAGGAAGGAAGGTCATCGATGTCCGATGTGTAATCTAAGAATTCTAAATGAGTTTGAGTGGGAGAGACATGTTGTGGAATGCGGTAGACAGCGGAGACAGAAGAAATTCGAATACACCGATTGTGATTATGCCACTAACAAGAAAAGTGACATGGGGAGACATCGCCGCACTCGACACAGTGACGTAGTTTCAGCTGCAGCTGATAGCGGCACAGATGACTGGGAACAGTTGGACCCAGGAAATCTGTCTGATGTGGTCGGGAGCACATCACAGAACCGTCCTGCTGACGAAGTCTGCCAGAGGAAGCCGACAAGACCAGCTCCAGTCTCTGCGCCGATAGCCAAGTCTATAGCGAGCCAGGATCCCTTGACGCCACGTGCTCCATCACCATTCCGACATCCGATGACTACTCCCAGAAAACGCGCTTCTATTCATTTGGATGCACCTCCTGTACCATTGCCATGTCTAACTCGGGAAGCCAGTACGCAGACAGATCATCAGTTAGTTGATGCTAGTACCCTAAAGAATAAAGATTGTGGAGAGAAAGGTATACAAACAGAGGGAGATAAACGGCGTCGACTAGACAGGGTACAGGAGACATACCAAAAAGACGGGAAAACAGTCGTTGAAGTACATGAGGAGGAAAGCTAGTTTTAAGAAAACTCTCCTGCAATTGTTATTTTTCTGACATTGGAATTTTGGTGATGATTTTGTGCCATATTAGAGATGTTTGCACCCTCTATTAATCATTGGTTGATTGTTTTCTGATTTTATTAATGATAATGTTTGATGATGTGTGTGTGCAACATTCTTTAAAGTTTATGAACAATGAAAGCCAGAAGCTTTGGTATTTTGTTGTTATTTGTTTATACCACGCGTTATATCTTAAGCCCAGGTAGTTATTGACTTAATGCGGGACGCATTCCTGGAGGCGTGGGTAATGAAACGAAATTCGGAATCGAAATCAGTAATCCCATTCTGTCCACTGGAAGCTTAGTAATAAGTACTTCCTGTTAATTTCACCCTTTCGATCCTCAGAGATCACGTGATAACTAAAGGGTATATAAGTAGAGACAACAGAGATCTTAGTCAGTTCCAGACTGAAGTCGAGAGAAGTCAGTTGGTTTTTAGCTAAGGTGAGGAACATATGTCTTATGTGCCTGAATAAGGCTTTCGAGACTTCGTTGTGTTTAACTGCAAGTAGATAAATACTATTTTGCTTAGCTAGGAAGCGCACGCGCTCCAGGACAGAATTGAACTTTGTAGATATTGTTAATTAAAATCCTTGATTGAGAACTTTTATAATTATTTGATTTATTCCTTTAATTGCTCAGGCAGAGCAACCGAATCTTCGAACCCAGAAACGTTACAATATGATTAGGCGAAACGACAGAATTGAAATTATTTGAAGGAGCTGATATATTATAGTGCAATCCCTTGCTTATTATTTTATCCTGCACTCTTCTAGTTAATGAGTTTCAATTGCTTTACATTTTCTAGTCTTTTGTAAATGAAAACCATAACTTCAAAATCCGAAGCTATTTTTTAATAGTGCATGGGTAGCATTGAGCTCAGTGTGTTACAAAGGGGTGCGAATTCGAAATAAAACTTCTGGAAGTATTGTTTAAAATAGAAGTATATTTGCTCCGTAGAATTAAATGAATCATGTCAAATATGTAATGTCAATTTCGATTTTTTAAAGGTCACTTGAGTCACTCAGTTGACTTATCAGCTGAATATTTACCCAATTTCAATTTATTCTGGTAATTAACAGTATTTGTAAATGGGAGAAATTGTATCTTCACGCCTTTCTCTCCCTGGGTTGTAAGGGATGGAGCAAAAGACCATCAAAATTAATGCAATCTAAATTTTCGTCTTAACTCATTGACATCATGCAGTTAACTGTTGGCATGATTATAATAAGGAAGCTCTCTACCGAAATGTAAAATTGCCCCTGGTTTTAGACTTCTGAATGGGGCTAAGTTTATCAAATATTAAAAATATATCTTATAAATCTCCTTCAATCGTGGATATCTAGCACCGAAACTGTTTGCATGATTATAATGAACACAACTTTTTTACCAAAATTTTAAAATCATACCCCTGAGTCAATGAATGAGGCCCAAGGGTGTGTTTTAATTGGTTAAATATGGAACATACACAACAGTTTTGAAAATTATGTCAGTCATCTAGAAGATATATTGTTTACATAATTATAATAACACTAAGCCCTCTACCTAAATTAAGAAATTTAAGGACCAATGGGGTTAAGTTGGGTTTTTTATACCTGCACTTTCTTTAACCCACACTTTCTAAAGAAAGTGACCCACACTTTCTAAAGAAACTGCAAGTATATTGTTGTTATCCTGGTCTGTCCGTCCGTCTATTACACTCTCTTCTTCCTCAAACTCCTCTTTTTTCTTAAGCAGTAACCAATTAACCTTTAGGGATATGATAGATGGTGTCCTATAAATGTGCAATAAGGTTTTGAAATTTTCAATTTTACTCTAAGGGGCGAAAGGGGGATCAAAAATTTTATTTTATTTATTTATTTATTTATTTATTTTACAAAAACCTGGTTCTTAGAATTCATCTTACATTTTATGCAGTAGCTTAATCATCTTTCGAAAGATAATTGGTGGTGTTCTGTAGATGTGCAATAAGGTTTCGGAATTTTAATTTTCATCCAGGAGTCAACAAAAGGGTAAAAAATGGTGTTTTTCTACTAAAGCCTGGTTTACAGAACTCCTCGTACATTTCGGAGGCCAACATTACCGCTACATTGCAAATAATTTCGACTCATTACTGCTACATTTCTTCGAAATTTCGGGTGATCATTACCGCTACATTTTATCAATAAGACTATTGCCGATTACAACTCATTACCGCTACATATCAAATCAGCCAGCAATGGCACGGAATACTAGTATGTTCTGTTCAATATAATTCATATAAGAGATTTCAAGACAGCAGTACGTCAAGCAAATGGCCTTCAATGGTCTACCAATTATGTAAAGACTACGTGTTTTGTCCATGAACAATGATCGGTTTTAACACTTTCTAAAATGTTTTATTAAATAAAAAAGATTTTAAATAAAAATTGGAAAAAAAACCAGAAACATTCTGATAAAAGTCTTACTTCCCCTCCCAGTGGTGAGCATAGGGGCTTGTCTTCCGGATTGTTAAATATAAAATAAATTTTTAAAATGTTGAATCTTCTTTAAATACACTTAAAAGTTGATAAAATAGAGATTCTGACACTTTCAGTCAAGAAAAACCACGTTTAAAAAAGACGTACCACACCTATATACATATCTAAAGCTAATAGAAGCTTTTAAGAATATTCAAAATTTATTTTATATTTAACATTCCGGAAGACAAGCCCCTATGGTGGTGAGCAGGGGAAAAAGGTCTTATGCATTTATATCTTGTACTTTAAATCAATCTGTACATGCATAATCCGCTGGGTAACGAAAGAGGCAATGTAGCGGTAATGACAATTTTGAAAATGTAGCGGTAATGATACGCACCTGTACATTTAACGCAGCAGCCTAATCATCTTTTGGAAGATGATTGGTGGTGTCCTGTAGATTGGCAATAAGATTTCGGAATTTTCATTTTCACCCTAGGGGTCAATGGGGGTCGAAAAATGACTTTTCTACATAAAAAAGACTAGTTCCTAGAACTCCTCTTACCTTTAACGCAGTGGCCTAATCTTCTTTTATAAGATGATTGGTGATGTTCTGTAAATGTGCAATAAGGTTTCGGAATTTTCATTTTCACCCCGGGTGTCAAATTGGGGTCGTATATTTTTTAAATACAAAAATCCCTGGTTCCCAGAACTCCTCTTACATTTTAAGCAGTAGCCAAATCAACTTTGGGAAGATGATTTATGGTGTCCTGTAGATGGACAATAAGGTTTCAGAATTTTATTTTCATCCTAGGCGTCAAATGGCGATCGAAAAAGGATGTGTTTTTTAGCTGCTTTTTCAATAAAAATGGAACTCGTAAATTTACTTACCTTGTCATTGGTCATTTGCAACAATCTATTGGAACTCCCATGGGTACCAATTGCGCCCCGTTATTAGCAGACCTTTTTTTGTATTCATATGAAGCAGAATTTGTCCAAAATCTTATACGTGAAAAGGTCCCATGGAGGAGTGAGCATCCCCTGCCGACCGGTCACACCCGCCGTGTGCTCCTTGTCATGATCGGTAAATAACGGAAAAATCTGTCGACAATTCAGTGTGTAAATAATGGCCTAACATTTAGTATGAAAAACGTCAGTCAGTATTTGACTCAATGATAAATTGTATTTGCTGACAAGGTCATTGTATCGACCATAGAACTTACGAAATGATGACTTTAAACGAGATTGGTGATATTCTTGTTTCATCAACTTGTTTGTCAATACCGTACCTCGTTTTAGAAATTGTTTATACGTAGAGCATGCTCTTGCGTATCGAATCAACTGAGAGATATAAACCCCGTATGCAGGTGATTAAGGTATATTGCTGCATAAGTAAGGGAAGCTGACGATTGAAAAGTTAAAGTCATCACGTTTATCATAAAGCTTGGTTGTTAGATTACCACTAACGTCTTTTTCAAGTAAAATATCCAAATATGAAACAGATTTGTCAGACTCTGTAGTATCTTTTATCTCAAGTCACCGGGATATATCGTATCGACATAAGAATGGAAATAACAATTGTTAATTGACAATACGTCGTCGATATACCTAAATGTCGAGTTGAAGGCCACAGCAAGTGCTTTCTTCTTATCACGTATAAGATTTTGGACAAATTCTGTTTCATATGAATACAAAAAAGGTCTGCTAATAACTGGGCGCAATTGGTACCCATGGAAATTCCAATAGATTGTTTGAAGACCTGGTCTCCAAAAACCACATAGATATTGTCAATCAGAAACTCAGGCATCTTTTATAGTAAAAAAAATTTTAATACTACAGTAAACTATAGTTAACTATAGTATTTTTTCGTTAGGGTTTTAACAAGCCATTGTTAAAGCCCTAACGAAAAAATACTATAGTTAACTAAAGTTTACTATAATATCAAAGTTTTCTTTTTACTATAGTAAATCAAAGTATTTTTATCTATGGATATCAGATTATTATATTTTTGGTTCTTCAATTCATACATACACATTTTTATATTAAATAGAACTATTATTTGTATATTCACATATACTGAAACGCAACATCCTATTTTAGGGAGAAATATTACATATTTGAAATAATTTTGTATCTAAAGAGTAAGGACATCTTCAACTTTGTAAATATCGGTAATTTAACGGTTGATTGATTTTCATACCATTACCGGAAGTTAAGTTGGAGTCCGTTTAACAGAAATCAAAAATTGCACGTTTAATAAAACATTGGGCAATAATATGGTGTTTTAAGGAATTGTATCTGTTCATCATAAGTAATGCAGCAATGTTCCAAAAAATAAATTCTCCTTTCTTTTCCGTAAGCGATGCCAAGGCTTCCTGAAAATGACATAAGTACGCATTTCCATTGCTCTAGCAGGAAAATCTCAAAATAAAGGTGATGGAGAGTTGCAGATGCAAATATGCACCACATCACGCCTCAACAGGCTCTTACGTATCATTAGCATGAATGACAGTCCTTGGAC